CAAGTAGTGTTTGTAGTCTCTTCTCTTCTGTGGCCTGAACACCAGCCCTGTGATTTGCCAGATGGCATCATCTGGCACAGGGAACCTGCAGTCAGAGAGAAGCTAAAGCTCAGAGGGAAAGAAGCAGCTGCAGACTCTCCCATCACCAGCAGAGACCTCTACTCAAAAAGGTCCACTAAAGGCTGAATAGGAATTTTCTCCATCTCCCCATCAACATACTATTGCCTTCTGTACCAAAATCTTTACCTTAAGGATTAAAACAAACTCAAGTATCTTAAATGGTCTGCTGTACCCACTTAAGAGTACTTTGTTTCCATTGCTACTACTGTTCCACAAACTACACTGATGACACTAGTCAATATGTTTTTCACAAGGTCACTCTAATGATCTTAACTTCCAAGTGTTAAAATCCCAAACCAACTCTCAACACTATGTATGATAAACACCAGACTGACAGCACGGACCTCTCCCTTGCTGTTTGCTGACTCCATATTAAGGGATCACTGGGTACCCCTGCTGTCAAATCCTCCTGCCAGCACACAGCGATGATTGCCACCTGGCTGCCAAGACATTCAGTTTGCAGCAGGTACCTCATACCAGTCAGCATGGACCCCATTTTGATAAACAACTCAAACGGGGAGAAAAGAAATGAATAGAAAAGCAACAGACTGCAGCACTTTTTAATCCTGTGACAAGTAGCACTCAGAGTTTAGAATGCATTAACATTAATCAACCTTTTGATAGCACTAACCTGATTTCTGCTGTAGTAATTATAGCAGCAAATGAACAACTTGCTAGCAAAACAACAAAATTGTTCAAATCTGTCATCAAATAAGAGTTTAGATTGATCTCGCAGGCAGATACGAACAGCTTAATCATAGTAATATCATCAACTCCTCGTATTAATTATTTTTATTTTAATGTAAATATCTCAAAGTAGTTTTATAGCACTGGCTGGTGAAATGTAATACTAAGAGCTAGTTAAACATGAATACTAGTTTCTAGGCACTGCCTAGGTTTATTTGAGAGTCTATATCTCAATTAGAAATAGGCTACCCTTCCCCTTTGAGTTATTACAGAAACAATTCAGTAAAATTAAGGTTCTTAAAGTCTATTTATCTAGGGATCAACTACAGCCAAAGAAATGATACTCTAACTTACTTCCACATTGCCAATTTTCTTATTACACGGGGACAGCCAATCAGTCCTAAATGAAAGGTAGATTTTAACTGAAACCAATGCTCATACGCTTACCATCTAAAAGAGAAATATGCTCTCTCAAGATCAAGAATAATATCCTGCCAGGAATCTGCTGAATAACTGCACCTCCCTGAATCACATACCCCATATTGAACAGGACTTTAGACTCCTCTGTTTAATTAGTCTCACTAATTTTAATAGTTACTGAAGAACTGTAGTCATACATCAAGTGATGACAAGTGCCAAACTAATAGAAAATATTAAAAAAAAAATCAATATATAAAACCTTTTTGAAACACCAGGATGAAAAAAAAAAAAAAACAGTGCTAGAGTATTATCCCTGTAGCCAATTATTTGGTTCAAAGAAAACAGAAAAAGAAATGTTTCCATACTGAACATGGCATTATGAACTGCCAATTATTTCCTGTCTACATTAGCCACTTTCCTGTTAATAAAAACAAAATTAAGTATCTGAAAATAAATCCTCCTGACTGCTATAGCTAAGGTGTACTGTTTTATACTGTGCCTTATAGATCATTTATTCCTCTACTCAAATTGTTGATCATTAAATACTCCCAGCGGGAAAGACCATTTTACATAGAACAGCAGTGATAGAGAAACCACACCGAGGGCAATTTTCCTCTACTGTCAGGTTCTGCTTAAGATGACTTAACCAGCCCAAAAACCTTAGAATTTCATTTGCTGTCCCTGTTCATAACATTCAATAATCTGGCAGCTCTCAGATGAGTACAGCGTGAATTATCATGAGGAATGTCTGGAATCAAGGAAAAAGAAAAAAGAGGCCTCATAACTGCTTAAGAATAACTTATTGCATAACATGAACCAACCATAATCAACTTTTCTGATAAAATTAAGGTCTTAAGTCTTCTGTTTATAATGTTGTGTTCAGATAGCTTCACAGAAATAAGTGTTATTTGCAATACATTTAGGAATAAAGTCTAAAATTAAGTCTCTAACATCAACACCAAGATTAGCGAAACTCATTTTGAGTGCCTGCAATCAGAGAGCAAACTAAGGAGCCAATCTAATTCAATAGTGGGGTTTCTTCTCCTTACCAGAACTATCCAACCATATGGATATAAGAACAACATTTATTAAGACACAGAGTAACGGGTTATCACAAATTAGCAACTGACTATGTGAATATGCTTAATCCATTGTAATGTGAATTGAAGCGCCTTAGCTTACATCTCAATGAAAAAATTTTACACGTGTTTCACTTCACAATTGCAAGAGGTCACAAACACACATACAGATATCTCAAAGTTCAGTCTATGATGGTAACTTACTAAGCTGTAGTAACTAGTTATCAATTAAATCAATCACCAAGAATTGTATAAAATATTAACTAATTCACTGAATTAAAAGAATGAAAACTGAAATGCAATATTGAAGTGGAAACACCTATCTCACTTTGCTTCGCTCATCTTTTTTATTTCACACTCAAACAACTTTATTTTGTACTGATTATTGAAACCCATAAAATAATTATTTTCTTCAAATCTTCTCTATGATGCATACAACTACAGCACAAGAATGCACAGCAAACATGATGCATGCTCAAAATATCCCTGAGAGGGAGACATATTAATATCATTCTACACCTAAGGAAGAAACACTAAGCTCTAGATTTTCACTTTTACTGTAATTTTAATTTGTAAAAGTAGCCACAGTTTTTTAACAGTACATGTAATGTAAACACAAAGTATATAAAATTATAATGAACATAAACATTTAACTGGTTCGCAAAAACCAGTAACAACAACAAAAAAAAAAAAAACTAAAAAGCATTCTTCATTTGCTTTGAAGGGTAAGTAAATTATGATCAAGTAAGAAATTGAGACAGCCTATAAAGAAATACGTGCAATAACTGTAAATGGTAATATCTAATAATATCGAGCAAGATTTTTATGTTTTAAAGGTATGATTCAAATGAACCCTACATTACATGCTTTTGCATAGAAGAAGGTCAAAAATGTGGAGTTCCTGAAGAAGTCATTAGTAAGAACTAGGGATTCAATCATGCACAATGATATGGGCATTTCTTGAAAGGTTTACATCAGAAGTCAATGCTACTATTGCTGATGGAAGTTTAAGAAGCTGTCTAACATGGGATCTAATGTGCAAGAAAATAATTACCATAAATAAATTCCCTACCTATAACTCATTAAACTACTAATACCAAATGGTAAGCCTTCTGCACTTTCCTGAGGCCCACAGGACTCTCATTTGGGATTTCATGGACACAAACACACACCCACAAGCTAAGCAGTACATGAGCAACAAAACTAACACAACTGGGATATATATCAGACCTAGTGTACATGGCTTGCATTTACACACCTGAAGTAAGTGCATCCTCTCCCAGATACAATTTAAGAGCAAGAAGCTTAGTATAGCCCAATTTATCAGATACACTAGGCATGAGTTTTTTGCCCAAAACCTGTAGGCATCAAACCAACCCAGACAAATGGCTGTTTTTCTATGACAGGACTTCCGATGATGAAAGGAAAGATGTCTACATACACCCAGATACAGCGTAGCTAAACCTCTGCTTTGATCAGTTCGCAGTTTGAGAAACAGTAGAGAACAGTTTGAGAATTGGAGATTCATGGTCACTAGATCCACATTCCCTGCATGAGAAAACATGCTTTTGTAACATAACAGGAGCTAAAAGTTTTTGCTACTCAGCTCTTCTGGCAGTGATAATATAGCAGCAGGGTGAAATAGTCTGATTTAATTCAGTGCTGAGTTCCAGAAAATAAAAGATATTTGAAAACATACATGTGTTATGTCAATGACAGTAATTTCAGATTAACTGCATGCTGGTTTGGGGTTGTTTTGCTTTGTTTGAGGTTCTTTTTATTTGGAGGGTGGAAGTGTTGTTTGGTTTTTAGTTTTAAGCATACAGTAACACTTGCTGAAGTATGTAATTGTATTAGTAACAAATGAAGTGCATATAGTAATTTTCCTACAGTTTAAAGACATTATGACCTACCATTCCTAGAAGCCTCTTTGGCTATTTTTTAAAAGATGCCATGTGGAATAAAAGTGCTAACTAACTTGCACACTTTGCTAGTGTAAGATAGAATTAGAAAGCCCTTAGAAACAGTAATATGTGATCAAAAGAGATGCACTTCTGAAAACCAGATTTTTGGAGTGATAAATCTAATTGTCATCTTTCAGGAAATCATGAAGAACTGAGGTTCATTGTCAGAATGCAATGAATCAAAAAATACTCTGAAATATCTATCCTTTCTCTTATCTCCATCTCGATCAAGTCACACCTGTAAGACAAGTTTGAGGCAGTAAGAATAATATATTTCTGATAAATCACTCTGTCTTCCGTGATTCCAAAGGAAAAGAAGAATGATGAATACATTTCTATTTTTACACACTCATCACCTAAAACTGAGCTGCTGAATCATTATAATTATAGTATCATATTATTAGCTGAGTACTGTATTAGTATATAGCATATTATGATACTACTTATTATTACACTATTTTCTCAATCTATTTGGAACTAAAAGTGTTCTTGTAATTTGGGAAGGTGCTAAGTGTCCAAATAGCAATCGGTATTCACCAAAATCCTCTTTGATGGGGATGTTGTGTCCTCAACTTTTGCCTCATTTGACAAGACAAATTAACTCTTTTCATATCAGCGTAGGAGACTGGTGCTTCAACAAAAATAGATACATAACAACAAGAGTAAAACCGCCTGTATCCCATCATCCAGCAGAGATTCAGGTATTTTGAAGGCAGTAAAAACCACTTACCACACCAATTCCTTCAAAAGCAAATATTGCAGTCCCAAAAAACAGTGGGTACTTCTTCCAGCCAACCACAGGAGACAGTTTTCGAGGATCTATGATATCCTGAAGAAAACAAAACAAAACAGTGCTATGTAATGTGCATTATCTCTTCCTACATGTGTTATGCTACAGGAAAGTCAGTATATGTTGACAGTGGTGTATATGTTGATATATACAATCCCTGGTTTCCCTCCCAAACTTAGTCCTTTATACACATTTATAGTCACCTTCTCACCCCACCCCCCCACACACATGCAGATATACTTATTCTAGGTTCATATTACTGACAGTAGAAATTTTCAGATTTGAAGTATCACACTGGTGTATATGAGTGAGCATCAATTAAAACAAAAGGCAAAGCTGACACCTCAAGATTAATCTTCTGCAAACTTACGCTATACTCATAGTATTGCATTTTCTTATCTGCTTTCACACGGCACAGATATTCTTCATAACAATAAGGGACAGTAAAAGGAAGTATTTTTAACACAAGCTGAGTTCCTGTAGATCAATTAATTGCTCTCTGTCTCCCTCAATCTCTCTATTTAACTTCTCCTGCCTTCTTGCCCAGCCAATACCTCTCACTGGTTTTTCTGCATTCCTCCTCATCCTCCATTTCCATTTCATAACACTCATGTGAAAGCTTTCTTAAACAGTGGCATTCACCACTTCTCCACACCGTGTACGCAACAGTGTCTATCCCTTATCACTTTTCAAAAATCACAGGGAAGAAAAATGTAGAGGTTTCTACATGTAATTTTTTTTTCAGCCATCAGTTTAACTTGTTCCATTGTGAAATGCTTCCAAATATGAAAAATAGCAGCAACCGAGAAAACACAGCAACTATTCAACTTCTCAGGAGGCAAAAGTCTGAAATATCTATTCTTAAAGGGTAAGTCTTAAATTTTTCCTGATTGTAGTGGAGAAACACTAGAAATAAATGTTGTTGTTGACAGTGTCCTTCTGTTGCAACAGAAAGATTGACCACAGATTAAAATCTTGCTGGTTCTGTGTGCTATCCATAAAAAAATCACATATTCTTCCACAGAAGGACTCCAGATCATTACAATACGTATTTTTATTATCTTAAGAGCACCAATATTATCCTTTTTTTCAAAACTACTGTAAAAGTCCATGTTTAAATCATGTCTCAAGTATTAACGCACCTCCTTAAATTAAGAAGCCTCAATAAAATAGAAGATTATTCTGCCTTTCAGAAATTGTCAGTCAGTATATATCTATCAGAGACCAACTGCCACATGCAACAAATGCAACTTGCCATGCTGAAAAAGACAATATTTATTTTATACTCACTCTAACAATATACTGGTAAATGATCACCAGGCTGACAGCCATTGACAGATTGGCAAGTAATGAAAGCAAGGAGAGGCTCTTAAGGTCACGAATAAAGACTAGGAGGATCAAGAATGGCAGGAAACACAGCATGTATATTCGTAAATCAGTACTTCTTTTCTCAGAAGAACTGCTGGCAGCACTGACATTTATGGGAGCAGTTTTGTCTTCCAAGAATCCTTCATGGACCTGTAAAAACCACAAACAAACAAACAAAACAAACAAAACAAAATGTTAAACAGTGGTAGCACTGAGTCTCTGTATATGGTCACATCTCTGCTTTTCTATATAGGAATTTGTCCCTCTGCTTTACCTGCCGAGTGTCAGGTGTTTCGGGACCCCTGTACTCTCAGAGCAGAAGGGAAGGCAAGGCATTTTTAGCAAAGTGTTTCATTCTTAAGACAAGTGATGAAATCAGGATGTGAAGGATCTGAAAGCATCTTTACCCCACCACTGTCTAAAGGGGAAATCCACGTGAGCAGTTTAGATCAGATTCCTTTAAGAAAGGGAGAGTTTTGTAAAATGAATGCAAGCAAGATGTATCTAGGCTTAAATATCGGAGTATGAATTTTCCTAAGGAGAGTAAAAGAGTTAGATGATCAACTCCTATTGTACCCAAGTTCAGTGCCTAATAACCTTATGCCTTTGCCATGCACATTGTAGCAGCACACATACAAAACAATGGCAGAATATGAACATGCCTTTCTTCTAATTAAAATTATTTTATTTTTCACTTTTCACTTTTTTATTAATCAACATTAACTCAACTTTAAAAACCATGAGCTCTGAGAGAGAGTCCTGTACCCATTAAATTGATAATATAAAGCAATGCCTACAGATAAATAGTAGTACACAATGTGAAAGCATATTAGGTTTTTTTGTATATAACTTTACAACAGTTGCCTATGGTGCAATTCAGAAGACAGAGTCTGGCACTATTCACAACACTCATTGCTTCTTTTGGAAAATGTTAATGTGGTATAACTGTCAAAATTTGTTTTATGGAAATATATTCTGTGCTACATGCACGCCACAATCAAAACATCAAGAGCTGGTGGTTATTCTGCTTACTGCAAAATTAGAACAGTTCAAATAAATTTGCTTTAAATCTTATCATGCCTTTTCCCTAGGAGTGCATCCTTGCTTTCTCCTTCCACTGCATTCACCATCTTACAAATCAGCACGATTGTTCTTAACCTGTTCATGCTGCAGAAAGCATTTGGCTTGATGACTACAAAAAGATACCTAGACAGTGGGGGATAAAAAAAAAAACAAAAAACAAACAAACAACTAGATCCTTATAGCACAGAGAGATTTCCCATTTAAACAAAAATGGGAAATCAATGCATAACAAAACAACTGGAGACAATACACTGACTCCTAAATGCAGTCAGACAACCAACTACTATAGCCACAGTCTTAATATAGAACTGAAATCAGAAGAGGACTCTATAATTCTACAATCCCAGAGAAGTGTACAAGAGTAGCAATTCTTAAATATTATTATTCTTATCACACAGTCCACAGACATAGTCCCAAGACTAATTAATTTATGGGCAATTCTTTCACTGTGGTTTGTTCTTTAAAATGTCAGTTATTACCTGTGCAAGTGAAATAATAAGATCATAGATCCTGCCTCAAAAATCCAAATACTTTAAGCTGTTACAATAAAAGGGTAGCATTTACATTACATTACAATGTAAGCTTTTATGTAGCCATGGCAGTCCTAAGCAAACACCATAATTATCAGTACACAATGGCATCTATTTTATTTTTATATAGGTCACAGTAACTCAGGGCTACTAATTTTTTACTTTAAGGAAGAGGACTAAGCGGAGAAGAGAGGACAGGCTGGAGATACGGTAGACAATCAAGGAATCACTGGCACTATGAGACTTTCATGAGGCAGAGCGAGTCCATTGATAATGTAAAACCAAGTGTACGTAAACCAAGAAATTCAAATTGACAAGTTTGCCAAAACTCAGACTTCACAAGTCTAGGAAAAAAAAAAAAAAAGTGCATAATTTGCTTTATTTCCATTGTTTGAAACAATCCACAAACTCAGCAAGACAGAATTAACTTAAAAGTCTTTTCTCTTTAACAAAAAGCACTAGACAGATTTTTTTCATTAGGAAAAAGGGAAAGATGAAAACTTCAATTCTGCAACCACACCTTTTTCCAGAAATCTCACTTTAAATGACAACAGAGGACACGAGTCATTACAGAAACACTCAGGGTTTCCACCTTGCAAGAATCTTAAGTGTCAAAAGACATTTAACATCTGCTAGTTTTCATTAAGACAACATTTTTAGAAAGCTATGGAGGAGAGCTAAATACATTTAAAACTGAATTCCAGTGAATGCACACAGCTACAATAACTACACTTTGCCAAGCAATGTGTCAAACACTTAACCAAATTACTTTCCTAACGCCACTTTTCTGCTTTCCCACCATACTCAGAATAGAAATACGGAACAAGAACTTTAACAGCCTTTCACTTTAATAACAGTCTTGTGAGTTTATTTGCTTGCATGCATTCACAGGTAGCCAGAGCTGCTCTGCACACAAGGACACAAAAGAGGGTTTTCTGAGAATTACAGTGTGATTTGAGCATATAAATCCCACTGAAAACCTCAGCTATAATAAATACTTAACCTAATGTACCTTCAATTTATCTAAACGTCTCTATGATTGATAAGCTACTTAAAAAAAAAAAATGAAGTATTCCTAAAAAAATAACTGCAGGCAGGATACAGTTTAGGTTGTAAAATACGTTTTTAAAATACTACAGTATAAATCAGCTTCTATTCAAATAATTTCAAGCATTCAACCACTTCAGTTTTCTCTTAAGACAAAAGACATTCTATTTTTATATACAAACCCCAATAAAAAGTTTGTAAAATCAGAAATGTTTGTTTTGTTTCGTTTTGTTTTTTCTATTAATACCACCAGATTCCAACTAGACATTCAACTGGAGCTTACTGGCTAATATGGCTGGAAAATGTAGTACACAATACTCTATATAATTCTATTCAAGATTATTTCTACTGTGATCAGCTACACTGGTGATGGGCTTAAGATCAGATCACACTTCCATGTTGTCTTAGGTAAGAGTGGTCATATGAAATAGAATTTATCTGCCTTTTATTTTCACAAAAATATGAGGAAAGCACAGAATACACTACAGCTGCACACAAACTCTCCACAACCATCATCATATGAATGACTACTGATGCAGAATCAGCAAAACATAGCCAACAAATTATCAGACTGTGAATCCCTGACCCTAGCTTCCCACCTGTACATTTCAGATAAGAGTTATATTCCTACAATAAACTTCAACACTGTAGTCTGAGTTACAACGCTGTAAGCATGGCACCCCTTCTCCTTGCATTCTTCCCTGACCCAGCATGCACCAGAGGAAGAAAATGGAGGCCAAATGGATTCTCAAAAATGTCATGACTTGCAGAAACCTGCATCAGATCCTGTTCCTTGAAATACAGTTTAAAGAAAGAAGTCAGGGCATGAAAGACATTCTAGTTGGGAGGAAAAAAAAAAAAAAAAAGAAATGTCAGTTCCACAAAATCCAGTCTTCCTGCTGCCCCTTCCTCTCTTCCACGCTATCATTTGAGTCACTTTGCTGTGACAAGTCTCTTATCTACTACACATATTCTGAACAGTCATCGCCATTACCTCATCCAAAAATGGAGGCTTAGATTCACTGAATCATAGAATAATTTAGGTTAGATAGGACTTCAGGAGGTCTACAGTCCAATTGTTTGCTCACAGCTCCATCAGATATGGGGTCAAAACAGATTGCTCTTCTCCCCATTCTCCAGCTGTGTCTCGAAAACTTCTAAGGATGCAGACCGCACAAGCTCTCTGGGCAACTGGTTTCACTACCTGACTATCTTAATGTTTTCCTTTGCCTCAGATCAGAAATTCCTGTGTTATTTTATGATCATTTTCTCTTCGTCTCCCACTTGACCTCAATAAAGAGCTTGGTTTAATTTTCTAGACTTCTTTGCAGTCCTGGAGAGCTCCTGGTAGGTACTTCAAAAGCCAGCTTTTCTCCAAGCTGAACAAGCCCAGTTTCCCCAGTCCTCACAGGGCAAGTGTTCCAGCCCCAATCATTTCAGAATCCCTCCTCTGAACTCATTCAAGTTTGTCAATGACCTTCTGGTACCGGGGATATCCAAAATCTGACAGAGTATTCTAAATGTGGCCTAACAAATGTGAAGTAAATCATGATAATCACTTTCCTCAATCTACCAACAACTCTCCAATTCTCCTGTTCATACAACCCAGGCTGCTGTTGGTTTCCTTTGCTGTCAGGGCACACTGCTGGCTCATGATCATGACCACTACACTCTGAGCCTGACCATACAACCAGCCTTCCCCCTCCTCTCCCATCCCCCCACCCCCCAGCTAGTTGTCCACCCACCCACCCATCCATCCGTCCATCCATCCATCCATCCAGACAGACCATAACAGCCTTACTTGGATACAAGGATATTGTCAGACACTGTGAAAAACCTTGCTAATGTCAAGGTGACATCTAGTACTTTCTCATTACGTACAAATTCAGACGTTTTTCTTACAGAAGGCAATCAAGTTGGTCAGTCCCTTCGTAAATCCATGCTGACTGTTTTCAGTCACCTTATTGTCCCTATTGTGCCCAGAAATGTGCTCCAAGAAGACTCAATCCCTGATTTTTCAAAAGGTTTGAAGAGAGGCTCTGTATGGTCTTTCAAAGACTTCAGATTTCTCCCAGCACTCTCGGATACAGCCCATCTGGTCCCAGACTCATTCCATTCTTTTTGCCCTCAGAGCACAACAGTGACACTGCTTTAACCAGACTTCAACAGTATAAAGCAGAGTAATTCCTTATTCTCTTCCAATCTTTGTTCTGTATGGTCAGAGCTGTCATTGTATGAAGGTTATTTAACTCAGAAAAAGGAAGAAACCTTATTTATTTGTGACAGCCTTCACCCTGGTGAGATTTGACCAACCCTAGAGGATTATTCTGCTGTAAGTCTTTAGATAAATAAAAAAGGAAAATCAAGAGCCCTACCTGAAATGGTCCTGTTTCCTGAAGCCTATCTTATGAAGGATTGCAGCTTTGCATAGAGAAAACACACGTGAAATCATTAGTTATGTTCCACTTACCCCCTAATAACTGCTGAAGGTGCACACACTTATCCCAGGCAACATATTTTAGAGATCCGCCTGCCGTCAGATGAAGAGATTACTGTGAACTTGAACACTGCTAAAGACAGCAGTATTGTCTGGGTGAGGAGGTTTCTGAAGTTTACTCTCCACTAGATGTTACTTGTATGCAGAAAATGTGAAGTCCATGACTTCAAAATTAATATTTCAATTTATTAAAAAAGGAAACTTTTGAAAGCTTCAGTTTAACTTTGACTGTCAAGCTGTTTATATATAGGTTTTAGCAATATTAAAATACTTTGGGGGTAAATTTTATATACACATACATGTATATACCATGTAACTGATACTATGGACACAATTATACTGATATAAAAGCACAGGACAGTTTATTCCCTTTTGTGGATATATATATATACCTTTAAATTGACTTCATATCAACAATGTTTAACATCAGTCATGGCAATACCACTTATGAGTTTAGGCAAGGCCACAGGAAATATCCATACTGCAGAACTGGATTTTGAGACATGACAGAATAGTGATTCTGTATATTGACTCAGAAGAGGCACACCAGATAAGATCCAGCAAAGGTTAATCTTGTGGGAGAGCTAAACAAACAGGTAAATGAGATTGACACGTGGAAGAAAGTGGAGTCCGAAAGTAAATGCAAAAATTATAAAAAGTAAGGATCACTATTGTCCTTCTTAAATGTTTCAGAGATCATTTAGTCATGGTATTTCATTATTACTCAGTACTCAACTTTTCAAACTACACATTTTTCACACTTCTAATTTTATGTCCAAGTACAATTTCTTAAGGATTTTAGGTATGTTTTTTTTTTCTTTCCATTTTACAGAAACTTTTTTTTTTTGGGGGGGGGGGGGGGGGGCTGGGGGAGGTTGGTGGGATTGGGAGGGTGGTGGAAATCAAAATTCTATTATGTAGCATCCCACTGATGTGTCATCTTCAAAGTTCTGAATATCTAATAAAGGGAGGGCTCCCACACAGCAAGGACTTGTGTGGCATTTTTTATCTTTATCAGCAAACAATTAGAAAAGGACACTTTTCCAGAGAACTTAGCAAATATTCAGGAGCAACTTGATCAATGCCAAGACTGTTGACTTAAGGTCTTCTGTTGCTCAAGCAGAAAAGGCAAAGTAACTATTCCATGAATGGGAACCATGCTCTGTTGGCCACAGATCCTTTTTTCTATCCCACTGTGATCCTGCTCCAGTCTTGCTACAGTCAACCACCAGCTCTTTTTCCATTTTTACCATTCTTCTCCAATTCTACACACCTTCACCCATAAACCCCATATTTGCATGCTGCCAGACTTAACCAGAACTCTCTCCACCAACCTGAGTTTCTTTGGTGCCCTAGGAAAATATTCCTTATGAAAAGCTTCATTTTAAATTTTACGTAACTGGAAATAGGGTCTTGTAGCACAAAGCATCTGGAAAACTATAAATGTAACACAGCTAACATTGTTATAATCCCACAAACGCTAATCAGAAAAGATTTAGCACCAGAAGCTATGCAGCATATCCATTAATGAAAAGGGTATATCAAACATTTAGTATAATTCAAAAGATGAAATAAATATTTAGACTCACATGCACCACTGTGTGTCAAACTAAATATTCACCTCAAAGTTACGTGGACTGAGGAATACCAAATTCACGTCAGAACCATTCTAAATTGCTTTGTTGCTTTTTTGTTCTGTGAAATAGTAAATAAGGTGAAGGAAGAGACTACTAAATTTGGTTTGGTACTAGTTTTAACTAGGAATATCAAAGAAAAGATCTCAGTGGAGGTTCTCACTGGTTCTGGTGGGCTCCTAGTTTGCACACACAAACATAGTAGGAGTATAGAGCATAATGCAGCAGTATTGGTCAAGGAACGGTACTAGTAACATATTTCTTGTATTTTTCCTGTATCTTAGTTCCCCACTCTTCTGTTCACCTTCCTCATCCTTCCACTATCCTAATTACAGATTTAAAGCAGCACCAATTTGTGTTCTTTGGTGCCCTCTACGGGACAGATTTCTGTAACAGAAAGTTGCCAGGAAGAACCACAGCCTTCTCCCTCCAAGAGGAAAGAGCACAGGGCAACGTGTACCAAATACACTTGGAAGAGAGACTTCTGGATGGCAGATGACTTTAATTCATTCACAGGGTACATACACCATGCATCTCCGCAGCTACTACTTTTGCAGTGGTTGCTCTCCTGCAGGACCTTCCAACTATTCTTCAAGAAAGCAGCAACAAGTTTCCTGAAGAGGTTTCAGGTTTTTTTCAAAATCTACAAAAGCCAAACTTTCAGTCTCATATTTTGCTTAAGGCCAAAATACATATATAACAACTGGTTGATCAGGTACATATTTGATAGGAAAGGTTTTAAAATTTGACAGGACAAACTTACATTACAAATGATACAATAAAAATCCCCACCTCAAAAGGCAAGGAAAAGGACATCAGATATAAAATAGGATTTCTAGGTATTGAAATAGATTGTGACAGTAGGACTGTAGTTTTTAAGGTTGTGGGTTTTTTTCTCTCCTAAGGCACAAATGACACAGTATCCAGCTTCCAAACACACAAATTCATCTCATCTTAACAGGATCCTTATTTGAATATTTTTTAAACACAGTATCAATACAAGGGGAAGAAAACAACATACTATCTTCTATTTATTAACTGCCCAAGGGGCCCTCTTCTTCCTAATTAAATTAAACTATGCCAAAATACCTTTATTCTACCTTTTGGGTGGAATAAGAGTCCATATGGATGATTAATGCTCAGTAACCTGCCATACCTTATTCGTCATCCACTTCACTAATTATAGAAGCACATGTTTACACACAGGCCCAGACTGATCCTCATTAGCTTCATGTCAAGTAACTATCCATTATCTTATGACCAGAAAAGAGCATAGTACATTGGTAGACTCCTGGCATCTTAATAAGCCCACAGAGGTGAGAGCACCACATGCTCAAAGTGCCTGTGGCTCCTGTTTGAGCATCCAACCTGTGCTGGCTGACCTCCCATGGACCACCAGCTCAGACACACAAACTGCTGACTGCAACTGCAAAGTGCACAAAGAGGATGGACCAACAGACCTCAAGGACCCCATCAACAGAAAAATCTCTGCCAATGAGAAAAAGAAAAACTTAGGACAACTGCAAAATGAGAGACCACAAACATAAGCGAAAGCAGGAACAGCTGTCATGAAAGTGACAGGCATGGTTTTGTTTGCTTTTGTCAGTGATGGATGGTTGTGGGAGAAAAAAGGGATAACTGGGTTTTATTGAAAGGTTTGGGGGTTGCTTAGGAGGTGTAAAGGCATTTGTGGTTGTGGGAATTCATCTGTAATTTTTAATTGACTTTTTGATAACTATAGCATGATGAAATATTTGATTTTTAGACAATTATTAGATTCTATCATGTCTCCACTCTAATAGTTAAGATAGATACACAATAACAATATTCAAAAAGATAAAATGTATCCACAAAGAGAAAAGAACAAATCACTTCTAGCTAGAACATGAAATAAAGAACTTAGTGCTGATAAGAAATTTTAAGCTTCTACAAAAAAGAAGCTGTCTAACAGATAAGAAAGCATTTGGAACTGACTACTGAGGAGGCTGCATAAACTTCAAATGTCAGGCATTTTTAAGAACAAAATCAGGATTGGTTTAGATACAATGGATTCTGTGGCAGATGAGACCATTCTAAAAAATGGAAGGGACTAAACAAGAATCAAAGAAAGATTCCAGTGACATGAAAAGGGTAAAATAGGCCCAGGAGATTGGCAGGAAAAAAAAAAAAAAAATGGTCACCAGAAGGCCTGGGGAAAAAAAAAAAAAAAAATTAGGAACAAGTGGCTCCTTGACCAGTTTCAGCCTTTTTTTCTACCATTAATTTTTAAATTCAACAAACAAATCAGAGGGCAATGAAACCAAAGACTTGAACAAGATCGGAATTTAGTTCACCTTGCACATTGCTCTTTCTTACCAAAAGCTCTTTTGTGGAAACCATGGTAGAACCCATTCTGTGCATATCGCAACTTCACATTTTACAAGTAGTTCTGTTGGACTTTACAAGGATAGGAAATAAAAGTGAATAAAAGTTAATCTAAACCCATAACTGTTTCTATACAATAACATTACTCACTTGTTTCACATTTTCTGCCAAGAACACAACATAAACACTACAAAATCCCAGCTGTGTTATCACTAGGAAAAAGTCCACAATGCACCTGAGGACAAAGAAACAAACATACATTATACTTAGGATCCAAACAATTAACCCATTTCTACCTAATATACAATTACTGCTCCTTTTTACAGTAGCCAAAAATGCTAGATTCAAATGCCATATTAATCTCACAAGCACTGCAATGCAGGTTCCTCTTATGGCAGAGCAGGGTAGTTTTGTCTATGTTTGTTTTTTAAAGTAACATTGAGTAGGCATCAAAGTTTCTCAAAAAAAAAAAAAGGTACATATTTTAAACTGGCATAAAATCAAATACAAAGACTTAATGTGGTACAAATATAGACAACAGACATATGTACATTCAATGCACATTTAATAACTTTTTATAAGGGAATGTAGTCATAGAACGAGGGATAACGGTTTTAAACTGAAAGAGGGTAGACTTAAATTCGATAAAAAGAAGAAATTCTTTCCTGTGAGGATAGTGAGACACCAGCACAGGTTGCCCAGAGAAGCTGTGGCTGCTCCCTCCCTGGAAGGGTTCAAGGCCAGGTTGGACGGGGCTTTGAGCAACCTGGTCTGGTGGAAGGTGTCCCTGCCCATGGCAGGGGGCGTGGAATTAGATGATCTTTAAAGGTGTCTTCCAACCCAAACCAGTCTCTGATTTTATAAATTCTGTTGTTTTCCATTAGCCCCTAACACACCAGTTTTTCACCAGGACCAGAGATGAAATGTCTCCTACAGTCTAAGTCATGTAAGTTTCAGCAATTCAAGATAACAAACATTTTCACATCTTACTAAGTGGGTCTATAACAAATGTATCAAATACGCATTCAGTCACTGTATCTCATTGAAAAAACACTCTAAACTATGGTTCAGATTGGTTTTCAAAAATCTTATACACAGTGGTGGCATGAAGACATGCTGTACTGAAACCCTTTGCTAGAGTCAGACATACAGCCTTAGAGAATGGATTTGTTGCAGCACAGTGTCTCTGGAAATCAAATTGCCATTTGTGGTTTGTAACTTTTTGGTGCGTTATAGAATTCTCATTATATTTCATTACAAACAACTTTCCCTCCGATTGAGCTCTACTCCATTCCTATGAAGTCATCAGAAAAAATCCTAAGTGACTAGGCTCACCTTTTTCTTATTTGAAACATAGTAATAGTCAAAACACATCATGCAAGATGCTGCATCCTTGAAAATAACAGGATCAAAAAAAATTCCTCCTTCAGGGAGGGAAAAAAACACTTAACGTAGAACAACACATCTGAGTTTTTGAGTTTCACTACTATGTAGTCATACCATAAACTCCATAAACAGCTATACAGCAACAAACAGCAAAGAAAAACTAATGGTCTTTTTTAGAAGAGGGATAAAGTACTTAAGAGAGACAACAAGCTATTAATATCTGCATGTCATTAATGCAAAATACAGTAAATATTTCTCCACTATTTGTATGTTATATTTAAACAGGAATCAAAGAATTGCTTTGCTTCCTTTCAGAAAAAATACAGTGAAATCATTAACATTCGCAGTGTCAACATGCTTAAAAAGTGAACTCTGATGCAGAGAAACATGTTTATGGTAAAAGAGAATGAAAACTTAAATTACTTCACTACATTAGACAGTACAGAATGCACTTCTGGTTATACCACATCTCTTGCTGTATTACTAAACAGAATTATTTTCTTCACCGCTCTTGTAGATCCAAAAACTGAAATGCCTAGCAGAGAGACACTCCCCAATCCTCCCATGTCACCACTACAAACTGGTTGCAGGAAATAACAAATAACACTGCATAAAAATATTTCAAGCATGGAGGACACATTCTTAAAGAAGGTAATAACTTAGTAAAAAGGAAATCTAACCATTCCACAACAAATTTATTAAATTAAATTATTATGCAAACTTACCGTCCCCAAGAAGCTCGTTTATGAAGAGCAGTCAGGGGCCCCACTTCCATGGCATAACTAACTGTATCACTATACCCCAGTGAGGATTTTTTCATCCTGAAATCAAAGAGTGAAGACAGAATGGAGTTACTAGAAACTATGAGGGCCTAGATCCCTACCTTGAAAATGCTGGTGGCCTCCCAAGGATTATAATAAGTAATCACCTGTGCCACTATTCTGTGGCCACTGAATTTTAGAGGTATGGTTTGGGCTTCTTTCCCCTCGAAGGGCCATTCATCAGTCTACAAGCATGTGAATGACAATGCTGCTTCACCCCTAATTCAACAGTACTAAATCAGCTTCTTACGAAACAACTTTCTTGATAAATTAATCCAAAATTAGGTTCTTCTAGTATCAGTTTAAGAAATTAATCTCAAACCTAAAAGTTACAAAGAACTTCAACAGGATTCAACAGATTTTCCTGGACAAGCAGTCAATCTCAATTGTTTCTAAAGATATACCTAAAACTAAAATCACTAAGGCAATTCAAAACTACAGAGGAAAAAATCAAAGCATTCAGGAATGACAGGATCCCTTCACAGTACAATATCACATTAAACTGAGAAGATAGTTCTTTCAGCTACAGGGACATGAACAGCTTTGTGTTTCTATTCAGTTCAAAAACTTCATTACACTTTTTAAATACAACACCCTCCTACTGCTTCTATTTAACACCTGACAGTAAGATAAAAATGTTTATTAGAAGTCACTATTAATCAAAATACTCTCAGTCAAATTTGAATGACTGCTTCCCCCCCCCCAGTATTGTATATTTTACTTGGAGGAGTATCTAGTGTCTATCTGCTCACTAGCATCACTTTAATACATTTCTTCAACACTACAATTTTGAAGAATCAAATTGTCACAATCCATAGAGACAGAGCTCACATATAATCATGAAAGATTTTAAGAGCATTTCTTAGTTCATCTTTTATTCCTATAAAGTATGTATAAACTGACTATTTACAAAAATTAGACACTTTTCATAGCTATAAAGATTCAGAAGCTATGAAGGAAACTATGGCGATAAAGAAGGACTAACAGGCTGAGGCTAAGCAATTAAAACTGCAATGAGAAAGACCTGATTATTTGCCAGCAAAGATGAGGAACAGGATACTGAGTAACACAGTTATACCAACTTCATTTTGTGTATGAGCAGAGGACAAATATTTGTTTCAATGTATTAAAGCTGTGTTGCACAAAGCACAGCTATCATTTTTAGTTGCACCATAAGAATTTGAGCGTTGTTTCTATTAAGTACAAGATTTTGAACTGAAGAGAAGAAACTGCTACTGCATCAGGACATTCTGTAGGCCAAAAATCAGAAATAGAAAAGAAGAAAAAATAATACTCAAACTCAGCAACAGAATGAGTAGTTACACATTTACCTCTGACATAGAGAGTGGCTGCAACGTACCAAGATGTGCATACAGTGAACAGATATAACTCCTATGAACACAAGGCTGATTGGTCCAATCTGGTATGGGAAAAAAAAAAAAAAAAAGGAAGACATGGGAGATAAAGAGAATTTTTCATGAAAATATGCTGGGGGAAAATAATTACATGCAAAATTTTCAAATTGTATCAAATAAATTAAGAATTTTAAAATTTATGCAACTGGATATTTTTCCCCTCTCAGAGGAGGATCTGCTGATGATGTTTTATGGCATTCCTTACTTTTAGTTCATTACATGACAGAAGGCTAGTCAGTGGTGATCAAGCCATAAACACCAAATGGGCATGAACACTCCTCTAACAGCATCATTAAGATAATTGCCAAAAAATTTGTCAAGAGAGAAGACTGCATATACTGCACAATTCAGAACAGTGGTTTGAACCACTTTAAAGTGGCAATAACAATAAAAGTTTCTTTCCCTTACATTAGTAGACTTGATGATGTGTGGTGTAAAAAAAAAACAAAAACAAAAACAACAACAAAAAAAAAATCCCCACAACCACAACCCTAATAACTTCTACTATTACAAGTTACAGATAATTTTCAAATGAAATCATTTGTTTCAGAGTAGAAGTCTGACCAAAAATTTTCACAGAAGGTACTTGCTTTTCGCATGTAACTTCCATTCTTAAACTGAACATTGTGTAATAAAGAATTACAGGATTATTTAGTCGTAAGGTGAACGTTTCACTTGATTATATACACCCTGACTTAGGAAACGCATTGTTTGTTACCCACTGTAAACAAACTGTGCTCTACACTGTTTCTGCAGAAATACAAGATTGATTTAACGAGCAGATGTTGCATCGTAGAACATACAATATGGCTCTAGAGAAGTCTGGAGGAAGGTAAAACAACCCCATAATAACAATTCTCATGAGATATCATAGGAATCTGAGTGAATCGAATCATTCTTTTTTCTGACAAAGATTTTGTTTTCACCAGAAAAGCATTTTGACTAAGCAAAAATACAACACATCCTATAAGGTCTTCAGGGTGAAGTAGTAACTTTAAAAAAATATATAAATCTTCAGTACTAAATTCATCAGCCTAAAGAGGAAAAAGAGAACATAACTCTGTTGAAGTTGACAGTGCCAAACAAAAAGTACCAAGATTTTAGTTTTTCAGGAACAGACATGTATCTGTAGATCTTTCTAGATAATTCTTCTAATCTATGAAAAATAACTGAGTTCTTACCACAATGCCAGCATTTTTAATTGCAAGTGGGAGACCAAGAAGCCCAGTTCCAATGTTTCCCTTGAGGAGGTGAGTAAGTGTTTGTATAAACCTGAGGATAAAAATATAAAACGTCACATTAGAAGTACACTGAGATTGGTGGGGGGGAAAAAAGCACACTCTCTGTCATATCATAAAGTGATAAACTGTGAGCTCCAAGTACTTTAAGGTGGTCCAGCTACTTTAAATAATGTCCAGCACATTCAAATAATGTTATTATTCAGCTTTACATGTGAGCTCCCTCAAATAGAACATACAAGTCTGATCTTCAGTTCCTTCCCCCAGCTTCTGAAAGGTTATTTCCTGTGTAATTTTATTGTCCTTCTGCCTCAGAGTCAAAATTACTAAATTTCATCAATGCTATGTTAGAAGAGTAACATTCAAAGCAACTGCCAGCTGCAAATCATGTCTGATCGCCAAGGCTTTACCAAAAAAAAAAAAAAAAAAAACCCAAAAAAAAACACCCAAACTTTTACAAGTTCTTATAATTAAACTTTAAGAAACTGATTATTTCCAAAGTCTTCTTAAGTTTCTTCACGAGAAAATAAAATCAATCAAAAACTTCTTTAAATAGTGCTTGGGATTTTAAGTGACGTAATCACTTTATAAATGGGCATCTTAAAATGTTTTACAGCCAGTAGATTGTCAGCTTCCAAAGATCAGAGAACCTATTCAAAATGGACAATGGACTGCTTTTTGGCAGAACTCTGCAAAGTCCTGATGTGTAACCATGAAACTGTACCGCGGGTGCAAGAAAATCCCTTAAGAGTTCAGTAAACTACTCATGAAGAAACAAGCCAGAGGCAACAAATTTTACCAAGCTGATACTAGAGAGTAATACATACGTAATGCCTTCTTCATTATCAAGCTGGTATTGCTTCTCGACTGGCAGGAAATTGTTTTCATGCTCTTCATCCGAGATGTCATCTGAATTTTGTTCATCAATTAAAGGTTTCATTACTTCCATGTCTGTACAACACAGTTAAGACCATATTAGCACAAGAACAAACTTATAGTTTAGAAGAAAACATGACTCAAACTTCCCTCATGCCATGAAGTTTAAATGTGTTCCTAAGTACAAACCTGATTTAAGCAGATAGATATGCACAGCACAAGTCTGCACAGAAAAATCTCTCTCTTAAATGGGGCACACCATTTCATTATCATTATGGCCAAACACTACAGTTTTTCATTAAGAACAACAACTTTTTATCATCAAAATGTTGATGTTTTGATCATTTTGTAAGCTAATACAACATAAAGCAAACCAGAGAAGTCATCCATTGTTACAAAAGGATGAGATTCATCTTACCCACCATTAGCTATTGCAAAACTAAGCATTTAGTCAATTCTTATCAGTGGTGAGCAAGGGCAATCCCCAGTCATCCCACCTTAAAACGGATAGGTAAAACAGGTACCACAGATGATGTTTCTAGGCACTGGCAAGGAAACCAAGGTATCTGGCTGTGTGCTTTGAAAGATGCATTTTCATGAACCTTTTAAAGTAGCATAAACTGCCACCTGGTTGGCCTTAGCTCTGATTTTAAGTCATAAGCAAATCTGTCCCACACAGCAGTTGAATGATTATGACAAAAAGCAAAGCATTTCTGAATCTAAGAATTAATGGAATAGAAGGAATATATATGCAGGTCAGACAATACATACTATCCCAATTTATTAAAATTCACTGTGTTTGTCATAGAAGACCAATAACAGGATGACAGATAACATGAAATGGAGGAGATGTTGTCTTTCCACACTGAATCATCATCCAAAGAGAAGCCAGCCTCTTCAAATATGAGACTGAATGCCTGACACTCGGTGATTACACCTTCCCTTCTTCTTTACCTTGTCTGACTTACATTCTGACCTTTGTTCAGGAGAGAGATCATGGCAATAATGAAAACATAAGCATTTTCAAAGAGGCAGGAAGAAAGCTCACACTAAACAAATTACACCAGTGATCCACTCCAAAAAGCCAGCCTATCCCCCAGTTGATGAACCTGTTCCTGACTCTCCGTCCCTCTCACCATACATATGGCTCTTGTATATTTAAATTCTTAAGTCCTTTCATGCATCACCACTTCCCATACATTAATTCTTGTGGGGAAGAAATCCTTTGCTATCTGAAATACCAGTAATCACTCTGCTTTTCAGGGACACCTCCTGGAGAAATAGCAGGACACTTGGGTAGCATACTACTACTCTGCCTGCTACTGATAATGGTAAACTTCAGTTCTAAGATGTCTACATGAGCACAATGCAGTTTTTAAGAAGCATCTTTCATACATAATTTTCACCATACAATTTATTGCTCGAGATTGCAACCAATCTTGTGACACACTATATTGACCCAAAAGAAAGATAGCCAGCCTCCCCACCAAAAGAGGTTATATGCGAAGTTTTTTAGTTCATACCTAAAATCAATATAAACCTTTAAAGATTTATGACCTTTAAAGATCATCTTGTTCCATCTCACCTGCCATGGGCACAGATATCTTCCACTAGATCAGATTGCTCAAAGCCCCATCCAACCTGGCCTTGAACACTTCCAATGATGGGTCATCCACAACTTCTCTGGGCAACCCATGCCAATGCCTCACCACTCAGCCTAAAAAGTTTCCTCCTTATTTCCTCCTTTATGTTTAGTTTAAAACCTTTGCCCCTTCTGTCACTACCATCCCTCCTAAAAAGTCTCTCTCCATCTCTTTCCTGTAGGTCCCCTTGAAGTGCTGAAGGGCCACAATAAGGTCTCCCAAGAGCCTTCTCTTCTCCAGGCTGAACAACCCCAACTCTCTCAGCCTTTCTTCACAGGAGGGGTGTTACAGCCCTCTGACCATTTTCCGGGCTCTCCTATGGGCCTGCTCCAACAGGTCCATGTCCTTCTTGTGCTGGGGTCCCCAGAGCTGTATGCAGTACTCCAGGAGGGATCTAATTAATTACAAGCAGAAGATGATCACATATAGTGGCAATTTTATACCATTTCCTAAGCTAACAGCAGTATCGTAATAGCCCTTTTTTAAAATTTGCATTTCCAATCATATACTGCTAGAAGACATTGAGTAGAAGTTCCCCTCCATAAGCAAAAACTTTTGCTGTGCATGAGTTGCATACACCAACCTTTACCGGTCTTGAATTTTTGCAATGGAATATTTTGTCCTCATGCTATTTCTTGAGCTTTCACTTAAATGATTTCCCACACAAATGATCTTCAAGCACACACAACTTTTACATCATGTTCTTCTTTTTTCAGCTCTTCATTCTCTGCTGGAACCACTAAATTATCTCCATATCAAAATAACACATAAATACTTTGGGTTTGATTGTTTTCACCTTTGTGTATTTGCCTCCATGACATTACATTTGTTCTCAGCCTCATAACTATTCATTTTTTCTGCACTCAGTAGAAACCTTATAAAATCTTCTTTGTAACTTCTCCTTATGCCTTTTGGTATAAGCTGTTCTATCGTTTAACCTTTCTCCAGACAGCTTGCCATCTCAAGATTCATTAACAAGATTCAGGAAGACCCATAAAACTGCAAAAAATCACAATGGAGTTCTCCGAACTATAGCACAGCACACAGCCCCACAACCAAGAAAAACAACTGTAAGAATGTACTCCAGCATATTTTCTTATTCCAGCTTCGACCACTTCAAGCACAGCTGTGCTCCTTCTTCACTCCAAGGTCTTCCATGCTACGCAATCATCTTAACCCCAAAGGAAGGCAACAGTTAATTTAATACAGCCCCCACTTTTTAATTTAAGCCACTTGGGTAATGTACCTGACCATCCTTTCAAGGAAGAAATGGTGTCTAAATACTTTTATTGTGGTGGTTTGAATATTTATTTCCAAATCCTGGGGAGGTATGAGCTACACATTTTACTATCTGTCTTCCCACACCATTCTGCTATTTTATTAGTGTCACTTATGCAATAGAACATCACAATTTCATACTCAATTGCCTTCCCAGCTGAAAGCCATGAGCAATCACTGATAACGACAGAAAAGCAATGCATCATAAAAAGCATTTACTTTGAAAACCACATTAAAGTTTTATTTACGAAGTGGCTTGATGTACAAGGCAACACATTTCATACAAAACTTGAGTCCTAACAGCACGGAACCTCCTCTTTGAAAGGAGAAGCTGCTATTCTGTAGTCACTATATGCAAGAACTGAAAGTTTTCTGCACACAGACCGCTTTCTGCTACATATTAGTTACCTACATTCTGCTTTCAGTATACATCCTGATAACCTGTCCATCATTACTAGTCTATATGTTGAAATGAAGGAAGACTTGAAGTTAATAGGATGGCGGGATCTTACGTATTTCTTTAAACATGCTTCTTTCAAACACAGCTAAGCAGAAGCAGCCAGACAACATTCATGTGCCAAGCCAGTAAGTGTCAAAACAAGGCTTCTACAGGGAATTTCCTTATGTGGAGAACACAGCACCAGCTGCTCCAGATAGAAGGGAAGATTTCACCTTACTTAAATGTTGCAAATGGGTCTATTTGACCACAGAGAAAGAAATTAATTTTCCCCAGATGTCCCACTAAAAAACTTTTAAAGCTGCATTCAATTAAAACAAACATCTGTATGTTTCTTTTTACAGATACAATCTTTGCCAATCTTCATTGCACAGCATTTGCATTACATAACTGATTTTATGGCACTTAGTCTACCACACTGCTGTACTTCTAAAATGCTGATCAAATGGATAATCCTTAAAAGAAAAAAGAAAAAAAGTTCACCTAATGCATCTCAAAAATACCACCAGACCTTTCAAAGCTCCAAGACCACTGCCATCAGCTTTTCTCTGAGGTGCTAGTTGATCACAACAGCAGCAAAATTGCACACAACTAGAGTACAGTAGGAGGTTTAATTAATTATCTTCTATGACTGGTCTTTTTTTACCAGATAAGAGGCATTTATTTTAACCCAGTTATTATGCAGACATTTATTTGTCTGAGCATATGCCTGGAAATTATTTTTTTTTAAAAAACAAGATTCAAAGCAACAAATTTGAACTTAATGTAGACAACCATAAAGAAAAGCACTACTATTGTTAAGTATACTACCCCATACAATAACAATTAAAGTTATATGTCCTTTATGTGCATAGGTCATAGTAAGTCTTGAGAATTTTTTGTATTGCCTCTAAAGATATTTGCAGGTTAGCAGAAAAAAAAAAAAAAAAAAAAAAACAAAAAACAAAAAACAAGCAACCAAACATAGAAATCCAAGACTTCTTCTGAATTAATTAAATCCAGAGTGAAAGAATCTGATTTTAGACCAAGCACCGAGTAGAACACTGTGACTGCAGAACTTCACAGGACAATAGCCCTTTAAAGTCTATATCCATTTATGTACATTTTTTGTCTTGTGGGACTAGTACTTAACCATGGCAACAGTACCTTGAAATCGCTTCCACCATCCTTTAGCATACCAGTCCTGGGCAACAGATACGGAGGGAACTGGAGTAGATTAAGTCAACTATTTAACCATGTTCTCAGAAATAGCTTAAATTAACCTCAGAATATCCACTTCCTATCTGTACACTCAGGCTGCCAGTTTGCTGATCCTGTTCTAACTCAATAGCTCATTTGAGACTGAATTCCTCTAGAAGAGTTTTTAAAAACTAGTAACAGCAATCAGCACCAATTCATACTGTGATAACTACACTTACTACAGGTTCCCCTGAAATACTGCATTATATAAAATAGTCCAACAATACTATCTGATCTCTATTCTAGCCATATAAATGGTCTTGAATTACCTCTTTTCCCCATCATCCCTCCTTTATCCCATGACTGGTGTATAGCTTTGGCCTAAAGCATGTGAATTGATTAATAATGGTACTGGGATGTAATACAAGGTTTGGATCCTTTAATTTTCTAAGCATGGGTTTTCATTTGATAATAGATCTCTACTGTCAGAATACTATGGCTATGCCCCTGCTGCACAGTCCATACTCACAGTGACATCCAGATTTGTGTAACATCCAAATTTAATGGATCCAAACTTGTTGTCTAGAGCACACCAGGCAAGAAAGTGTGAGCTGTCTCTGTACTCTAAAGCAAATATGTACTCACAAGGTAAAGGAGAGGGTGCTTTGCATACTTGGACTTAGCCTGAAATTAACTGTTCTGGAGTCCACAGACACTGCCAGAAAATCAGCACGGAATACATACATTCACTTTGATTCCTTCCTAGAAGGGTCCAGCATGTGCAGTTTAAACACAATCTCAAACTCCAGCTACAAGAACAGCATATGCATGCCATACCTCAGTCAGTGGTGAAGTTGGCTGCGCGCTGTCTTACACAGCACACATCAGCCTACCTCAGGTCCATGCTCCACTAAGCTGTCCAGACTGTGTTCAAACACCGTGCACTATTAATGATCCAGTCCAGTGCTCAGTCACAGGAGTCACTGAAAATTTTGCATCATCTTTATTCAACACAACTAAGAATAAGGAAATGCACTTCTACACACCCTTTTGTTTTTACTTAGTCCAAGTACTAGCCAATTTTCAGCACTGTCTTTCCTTCAGCTAATATGAATTTCTTTTCTCCTCATGCCACCACAGAAATCTTTTCTGATCAAATGCTGTGTTCAGGTCATATTTAACAGTTATTTAAATGTTTGTCACTGTTTCTGCTTTCTTCTGTGAACACCCATGTGAGCAGGACACCAAAAAGCTCTGCAAGTACTGCTACTGTCAAGCAAGGCAACACAAAGTACATTTCAATTTCCCTCAGAATTACTGCTACGATGTTAAACTGATTCCTTAACCTACTGGAGAGATAACTCACTGATGTATTACAGCTACACATCACACTATATTCATGCATAAATGTCAACACTGCATCCTCAAAGACCTGTGGCAAATTTCAATCACTAGTCAACCACTAGTTACACAGTGAGAATAAATCTGTAGTGTTTAAATTGTTATGAACAGTATTTCCAGTTTTGTATCTTCAAGTGTATTTTTCTTAGAATTTGCCAGCATCTTGCCAATGTTTATGGACACATTGCCAAATAAACCTTTGAACTGTTACTAAATGTACTTAATCCTAAAGCTTTTATAGCACACTCAAGTAATCCTTAGGTTCAAAAGCTCTGCAAATAAATGAATTTTCATCGAGAACTTTAGTTAATTTTTCTGTACTGCTCAGGCAATTAACACTTCCAAAATTAAATGAACCTCTTAGCATCACAAGGGATAAAACTAATCTTCATTTTATGGGAGAAGCAGTGAGAAAAGGATGAAGCAGTTTGCCAGGGCTGCATAGCAAGTTAAAAGCTAAGGAGATATTAAAAACAAAGCCAAATACAATCCTGCATTGTTCCTTTGGAGAAGGTCACCACCCAGACAAACTCCTATGTAAAACCCCTTTTGCAAATCCAATTTAGCAATATAATGTGGGGTTTTTTCTTCAAGGGTTTTGAAGTCAATGTCATTGAATAGAAAGACCTGGATTTGACATTTAAGCATCGAAAGATCTGGAGGACAGGATATAGCTTATCATTGTTTATGTCAGCTGCTTTTATTCATTTATGGGAGAAGGAACATACAGGTCTTGTTGGAGCACCACTTGTATATTAAATGCTGGGCAAAAAAACAGCAGACAAAAGGGGTCTTGTCGATACTTGACTGCTCAGTCAGCTTCTACACAAGAACATGCTACAGGGCCAGAAACGCAGCACAAGATTCACAGTCCTGTGAAATGTGATTATTAAATAGAGGGTGACCCAGTGTCTCTGTAATAGGGATAAAGATGCAATTTAATAAGTAGCTGTTTTGACTGCTGCATAAAAGAGAAAATCAGAACCACCCAGTCTTTACACTAGTCTAAAATGCGGTTGTATGCTAATATTTTCTCACAGGCTACAGATTGCCACATTCGTGATCCAGAGAGCATGCCCAGAGCTTCTGTCACCCTAACCAAGCCTGTGGCTGCTCTTATGAGACAAGATTACTGATCAAGTCTCCGAATAGCAGAGCTTTTCAATTCAGTATTCTGCACCAGGGCTCTCAAGAAAAAAATTAGTTACAAAGAAAATATTGTCACTAATTATTTTCAGAATCTGCAGCTGGCTCTGTAAGCAGCTCGCTATATAACTCAGTTACTCCCTCAACCACAGAAAGAAATACCAGTTTTTCCACTCCCCAAACCTCAGCTGTTAAATAACCTTCACAGCATTTCTCCCAAAGGCATTAAACTGTGAAGTACAGTGTTGTCCACCAAACACACATGAATCTGCAGAGATCTGCCACATTACTACTGTCATGTGCTTCCACAATCGCCGAAGAAATACGGATCAACATAAAATGACTATGAATGATAGTGCTAGGGGCATGCTTGTCAAGATTGAAAACTTTTGTAGCTTTTTCTAGTTCAGATAATCCAATTCTGTGGTACACAAGCCAGCTCCCTTTTTATTTTCCACTACCACATGAATATAAGAGACCTAAGAATAAAACAAAACAAAAAACCCTCAAACAAAAATGTATTTTCCAGAATGAAAATTAAAAAAGGAAAACTCATCTGGTTTTAAAATGTCTATTAAATACTAATAATCACAATTTCCAGAATAGTCAAATTTAGTATTAGCTTTTGGTGTGTTTGTTTTTCAAGAGCTTTAAAGCTATGCTTGGTGCAGTTATTTGAGTCACTATTTATTTTTCTTTGGAAAATATATCTTTGTGTCATTTATTTCTCTTCATTACAAAACGTAACTTAATAAAGTAGGTTTATTCTGCTTTATGGTAGAATTTATTAATCTTGAAAATGGTTATGTCTAAATAAATGCTGAATGCCCATAATGCCACTCAGTAAGCAGGAAGAACTGTTTGCTTTTGCATCGTAACTGTCAAATCCAGGTGGCTGATGAGAACCCTGAATTATTAAACCAAAGTGTACACAGGTCTCCATAGTTTATTATACACTTTCAGAGGAGCACTTTTCCCTCAACCCACAAGATGTTACTCTTAAATAATCCACTTTCCTGTTTAGACCAAGTGAGATACTTCTACATGATTAACACACTTTCAAGTGATGACACATTGGTAAGATTTAAATTTTATTAAGTATTCAGTATGAACAAACCATTTAAAAAACCTTCTGAAATCTTACCAGATGTTGATCTGCATTTTTAAAGTTAATCCCATAAAGAATTCTGGTTTTAAGGCTTCTAACAGAGAAACTGTCAGATCTGTGACCTTAGCCAAAAAAAAAAAAAAAGCTAAAATTTCTTTCTGCCACCTTTGCTCCAGAGTAAGTAATCTCTCATTGCAAAATGGATCAGCCTCTGGGACAACAACATCTGAAGCACATCTGCTTCCCATCATTAACACGGGACAGGACCAATTCTTGAGTTTACAGCAAAACACAGCTTTGAGGTGAGACTTCCAGTCTGCCCAGTCAAGCCCAGAATCAGCTATACTTTATCACTAAACCGGCTACGAGTTCTCTCTTGTCCATCTATGGATAGACAAATTACGAGATGAACATGTATGTGCCCTCTTTAAAGGCCCAAAGAGTAATCGGCAATAAATAAAGATATCAACACACACACATACCCCCTCAACAAAAAACAAAACAAAACAAAACAAACAAAAAAAAACAGCAATCCTTCATTGTAGATAAAAGCATCACCTAACGATGCAAAGGGAAAGTATTTCCTAAACTTCTGTGCAAAGCCGTGACTTTTCAATGAAAGCAGGAGCCTGACAGGCCGGCGGGGCAGGGCCCACCCCTCCCCCAGGTGGGATGGTTCATCCCGCCCGCCTCGCTGCGCTGAGTGCCGCAGCGCATCCCCCCCCCCCCCCGTGGGCCGAACCATTCCTCCTCGAGGGGAGAGGGGTGGAAGTTGGCTGGCCGCTCTTCCCGCTCGCATCCCCTCCTCTCCGCGCCGCGGCAAGCCGCCCTGCCGCTGCCCCCCGCGGCCGCCCCCGCCGCCAGGCCGCACGGCACGGCGCGCCTCACCCAGCTCCTCCCTGCCCGCGCCCTCCATCGCCCCACCGGCTCGCCGCTCGCCCTTCCGCCGATGTGGAGCCGGCCGGCGCGGCGCATGCGCCCCACGGGAGCGAACCATAGATAACCGCCGGAAAGACAAGCGCTGCGTGAGGTGGGGAAGGTGTTGGTCCTCCAGGGTGGGTGTGGGAGTCCGGCAGCTGTACCGAGCCTGTTGGCGCTTTCTCATTTATGCACCTATCTGTGCTGTGGTGTAGCGACCACCCTGCTGCTGGATGCCCACTTAAGCATCTGCCCTTCACAATGCCTGAGCTTCTTGTGCAGAAGCACCGCCTGACCCTGCACGTGCTGGGCTCCACAGCAGCCTCGCCACGGGGCTCCGTTGCTGGAGGTTCCTCCCTCACACCCTCAGGCCACCCTTTCTCCGCAGAGCTCCCTTCTGTCTCCTGGGCGCCTCGCCCTGTTAACAGAAAGCGGTAATTAATTCACTTAGAGTCAATTTTGGAGTTTTAGAAAGCAGGCATCCTTTATTACAGCGCCGGACACGCAGGGGATAGCTCCTCCTAATGTGTGTGTGTGAAACCAAAGTCAACAAGCATTTATACCACCTTAATCATACATATTCATTGCATTTTTATCATATTTTTATCATAACTTTTTGGGGAACTTGGCATATGTTAATGTCTCCTGCACATGTCACTCTGAAGTGATATGCAGAATCCTCATTCTCTAAACGTTTCCTGAAATGAAGCACAATGACTTGTACAATAAAAGCTTCTGTAATTCCATTAACTTTTATTTTCATGGTTTAAAGACCCTAATACAGGGCAGGCTAGGAGCAGGCAGGCAGGCAGAGATGTTATCCTATCTTAAAGAAGGACATCGTGCTCTGGAGGATTTTCAACTGAACTTACACTGTCTAGCCTAAAAAGATCACCCTTCAATAGAACTGTCTCCCAGCAAGCTTAGTCTATAGTGAGGTTTGAACACTTGGAGACTGATCTTCCACTAATCTGGCACCCACACTTTGAACTATCTTTCATGCTAGTTGCTCCTGGAATAAGCCATCAATATTTTTTCATCAAAACTTTCAAGGTTCTGCCTGTATCTATGGCTGATTTGACTTAAGTAATAAAGTTTCCAGCTGTTGGTTTCCTAAAACAGAATATTTTTTTTTTGCAATGAGAATGTGTAATAAAATAAGTTGTCTTTTGTCTACACAGGAGAAATGCAGGAATCTTCTGAAGCCTCTTAGAAGCTTCAGTCATCTACAGGCATCATTAATTCACTTATCTACAATGAATAAGTTCTAATGGGGAAGACATTCCTTTTCAAATGTCAGATTTACGTTTCTTTCCAGGTACCATGCTTCTTCAAACTTTCATTAAAAAAAAAGGAACTGTATAAGTGAGCTATTACTTGGCCTCCTCAAATTTATTTTGGAAAAGGGTTCTCAATAGGCAATCTGAGACTGTAAATTATCAATTTAAGGAACAGACTCACTAATTACAATGTTTGTGTCAAGACTCTACACAGTCTATATATATTTTCTTTATATTCACGGATATTCTGTATTCTCTATTGTTTCTAACAGAGCCAAAGTTTGTTCAGAAAAGTGTATCAGATCATTAATCTATAGTCAAAATTTGTATTCAGTTAAGTGTGTTCTTTCATTCTACTATGTCATTGCATTTCAGGACTTGGCTCACAGTAAATCCCACCTAGATGTTGAAAAGAGTTTAAGGACATAATACATCTTTATTTCACATCCTACCTAATGGAAAACAATTTGTTTCTACTACTGGTCACTATTTGCATCAAAGTTCCTTCTTGAGGAGGAACTATAAATTATTAAAATGATATCAAGTAACTGAGTAACAAGTGGTGATCAATGAATATTCAGAAAATGCAGGAGATACTATAATGTGATGGGTATTCATGATTTTGTAATACGCATTTTATTCCTCATTGGTAAGAACAGAAGTATTTGCTTTAATGCAAACATCTGGTTAAATTTTAGTCATCCATCCATCTATGCAAAATTACTTCATGATATGAATACTGCAGTCACCAAATACTTATTTACTCTAGGCTTCATATTTTTAATGGCATATACAGTTTGCCTCTTAGAAATCATGGATTCAACTCCACAGCCTCCCTGGGCAACCTGTGCCAGCGCTTGGTCACCCTCACAGTAAAAAAGTATTTCCTGATGTTCAGAGGAAACTTCCTGTGTGTCAGTTTGTGCCCATGGCCTCTGGTCTTGGCACTGGGCACCACTGAAAAGAGCCTGGCTCCATCCTTCTTGCACCCTCCCTTCAGGTATTTATATATGTTGGTAAGATCCCCCTGAGCCTTCTCTTCTCCAGGCTTCCAGGCTGAAAGTGCCAGCTGTCCCAGCCTTTTCCCATAGGAGAGATGCTCTAGTCTCTTATTCATCCGCGTGGCCCTTCATTGGACTGTCTCCAGTCTGTCCATGTCTCTCCTGTACTGGGGAGCCCAGAACTGGATACAGCACTCCTGGTGTGGCCACACATGTGCTGAGCAGAGGGGAAGGATTGGTAACCTCCATTAACTTGGTGCCAATACTTTGCCTAATGCAGCCCAGGATACCATTGGCCTTATTTGCAGCAAGGGCCCATTGCTGGCTCACATTCAACTTGGTGTCCACAGGACCCCCAGGTCTTTTTTTGCCAAGCAGCTTTCCAGCTGGGTGGCTGCCAGCATATACTTACGCCTGGGGTGGTTCATGAGGTGTGTGGCTGAAGGTGGTAGTCATGTTGTCAGTGTCACCAATTAAGAACACAGATCATAAAAGGACCGTTGTGTTCAACAGCTATACTCCAGGTTCCAAAACTGCTGTTTGCAAGTTTGATTACTACAGCTGTGATTAACACAGAAATGTTAGATGGTCCACACTGGAATCTATAAAATATAGCTATTGAGTAACAAAATATTAAAAGCCTGATGTGTGTTGACTCTTTCTAAGCTATGATGAGGAATAAATATGATTACAGGAGATGCTGTAGCTGTCAAAAGTGCTGTTGGTTGTTCGTACAAAAAATAGAAATTATAAACACAGTTCAAATATCAGAAATATTTGAGAAAGACACCAGGACTTTTCCCAACTTGCATCATTATCACACGGCTAAAGTAGAGTATTTTTTCTGTCACTTAATGAAAATAAAAGATCTATGTGTATGTATACATCTGTATATACTGGGACTTAACAGTCAATTGTTGCCAACATCAGGGTTCATTTTTGTTGCTCAATTTGGTGGGCTGGCATTGTCAACTTTCTTTCAGTACAGTTCAGAGTCAAAGTCCATCATCCCTTCAGTAAGTAGGTCACGTGGGAAAATATCGCAAATGTTCAGATACTTGTGAATCTTTGTCAGTTCTTATTTATCTTAAATATTTAAATAAAAACAGGTGCAGTGTATGACAAAACTTACCAAGTTGCACCAAAGGAGATCATATGATAATTTTGGACAGTGTTTCAGATTTACACCACTTCTCCATATTATCCTGCTAACTTCACCAGTGCTACAATCTGAAAAACAGTGCTTGAATTTTGAGGGTGTCCTAGAAGTACAACACTCCATTTCCTCTAAGCATCTGCATGGACCTACCTTTATGCTTGTGAAATTAGCTAGATGTCAGAAGTTCTGCACATGATCTGCACACTTCAGGCCTTGACATCTGACTCCAACTTACGGTCAGCTGTGTCTTGTACTAGAGTATTTAGTAATAATGAGGACCAGGGAGGTCTTACTTTGTGGCCCCGTTCGGGGCCTCTGACTGGATTTGTCCAAGACATTGTCCAGGCACTGTCAGGGCACAGTGCTCTTCAAGTCAGCTCCCAAAAAGCACTGTGGACAAGAATGCACAAAGTGGCTCCCTCCATTTCCACAGTCTCCCAACGTCATTCCAGCTGGCTTTGCACCTTCAAACAGCCCACGTGTTCTCATTCAGTGTTTCCCGGGCACTTAGGATACACACAAGAGCTGAAAATAGATGACAAAAGAAGGCTAAAGAATTGTGGTGGTGTAAGACATATCCCTCCCATTTTACAAGGGAATTCTAGCATTCAGAGTTTTCACAGCTAGATATAATACATCAGCCCAAGTTTCTTTTGATGCCTATGGCTGTGATATCACAGAAATACATGGCCCACCAGCAGAACCCTAAGGTGACTGTTGGCAACCCTCCTACTCCTATGATTCACATCAGCTTTGGGAACTAGTGCAGCCTGTGGCATAAAACATGACTCCCAGAGTCTGCTTTAATTTAAGAAAGCTTCCAGAGAACTACATCTCAGAGCAGCTGAAAATCCACATCGTGTCATGCACTGTGGGGTCTCCTTTCATGCATCTTGGGAGGATTGGTCCTCCACCAGCTGCGAAGCTTTCACAGCCCTTGCATTCCTGTGAAGTAGTGTTCAAAGAGGAGTGTGAAGGGAAGGAGGATTATCTGCCTTATTAAGCTTCATGAAGTAAAAGTAGTTCTAGGACACTGTAGAACCATAGCCAGTTAGTGATTAAAAGATGATACTGAAAATATTTTTTAAAGCTGCATGAAATGTTAATTACAGGAATTAAAAAATAGCTGCATAGATAATTTTAATTCTGGGAAAGAACCGAATCCAATCAAACAACAAAAAATAGCACATCCTGGAATGAGCCAGAAAGTACTAGATGCTAGAAAATCTGTGATCATGAGTCAACTGAGTACTGGAGTAAGTACATCTGCAGGGTTTTCCCAGGATCAGTTTAT